GTAAAGGGTGTCCACGATGAAATTGCCACACTATGAAATTACTCTAACTTTTTAACCGTTTCGTAGAATTTAATGAAAATTTGGGTGGATTTAGTTCATAGTGCATTATTTACATCCTGCAAGTTTTAAAGTCCTGTGATCAAAACTCGCGGAAATGGAGTCGAAATAACAGCTCGTGCGTGATAAAATCTTGCGCATTCATCACGAGAACAAGGATCTCTCGCATCGTTCCATCGCTAAAACGTTGGGAATCGCGAATTCCACGGTGTCGCGAGTGATTAAGCGGTTCAAGGAACGGTTGACCACCGATCGGAAGCCCAGAAGTGAAGGAAAAAGTATTCCGTACAACACCAAAAATCACAACCGCGTAGTTGTGGCCTTCAACCGAAATCCGAACGCCTCCGTTAGGGATGTGGCTAAGAAGCTGCACCTAAGCCGAAGTTTTGTCCAGAAGGCCAAAACTAAGGCTGGGCTTCGAACGTTCAAGGTACAAAAGGCCCCTAATCGCGACGAGAAGCAGAACAAGTCCGCCAAAACCCGTGCCAGGAAGTTGTACCTCAACATGCTGACGAAAGTTGAATGCTGCATCATGGACGACGAAACATATGTGAAGGCCGACTTCAAACAGATCCCCGGCAACCTGTTTTTCACGACCAAGGATAAGTTCAGCGTTCCGGAGCATGTCCGCACTCAGAAGATGTCCAAATTTGCGAAGAAATTCCTGGTTTGGCAAGCCATCTGCACGTGCGGGAAGCGGAGTGCACCTTTCGTGACCCAGGACACGATGAACGGACAGGTGTACATAAAAGAGTGCCTCCAGAAGCGGCTGCTTCCTCTCCTGAAGGCCCACAACGTCCCAACAATCTTCTGGCCGGATTTGGCCTCATGCCACTACTCCAAAGACGTGCTGAAGTGGTATGCGGACAATAAGGTCAATTTCGTGCCGAAAATGTTCAACCCTCCCAACACTCCGGAGCTCCGCCCCATCGAGAAGTACTGGGCGATTATGAAGCAGCACCTTCTTAAACGACCTAAGGTAGTGAAGACAGTCGAGGAACTGAAGAACGTATGGGTTTACATGCAAAAAACGGTTGATTCACAGGTTGTGCAGAATCTTATGGCCGGGGTTTAGGCCAAGGTGCGGGCATTTGCGTATGGACTGTAAATAAAATACGAGTAAAATGGTAAAATGAAGTTTAATAGTTATTTCTCAATCCCTGAAAATTTGATGGCAATCGGATGAAAACTCGAATTTTGCGAATCAATTTTGTGTGTGGCAATTTCATCGTGGACACCCTTTATTTTCTTGCAGGCTTTCTTGTTAAAAGGGAGGGAATTTTTATGTATTTTTTATGCAGAATATGCAAAATGGGAGGGACTTCAAATGTTAATCCTCCCTCTCCCACCAAATATTGCAGAGTGTCAACAAAATACATGGAATGTTGAGATATTGAGATCGTGAGAGTGAATTTTCTCTTTCAAATACGAGAAGTGCTTTACCGGCCTAATGGAACGGATAGCCTCGACAGAACTAAGCCTTTCCGTAAAAATAAATTAGTGGTCTGGCAGAAGTGATGCAATAGTTTCCAAAGTGTAGTGAATTGCGATGACCGGAAGTTGATGAGCCAAGATTTTTGTCAAATTGCAAGTGTCATTTGTTTTAAATATTTCAAAAGCTTGCATTTTTCATCAGCTTTTTTAAATAAAATCTACAAGGGGTGCTCGGGGTTGTACGTAGCAGTACTGCAGCAGAGGCTTGTGTTTTGTGTAGAAATAGGAATTTGAGCGGGGTTCTCTCTGTTCATACTCTTTAGTATGACGCGCTTGACATAGATGGCCCACAGCGACTCCCAAAGAGCTACTGATTCCGATCAATAGCGGTGCGGCTTCTTCCTCGTTCTATGGTTGCTCATGTGGGCTGCAGCTCGCAGCAATGGCGCTTTTGGTCGATTTTCACTTCTCGCTCTTCATCGATTCTGTCAACCTACTCGCTCTCTTTGAAACAACCGTGCGAAAATCAATGTGGAAGAGTTGACGCTTTGCCTGTTGCAGGCAAGCAGATTCGACCTATTTGGAACATCGAATACTATTGTCGATTTTTTGTAAGAACACAGCACTCGTTAGTTTCCTACACACGCACACAAATGTAGTTTTCTGGACGAAAAACTTAGTAATAGTAAAATATCTGACCCTGTGTTCATCGCAGGCAGCCTTTCGTTGTGTACTGGAGAACACCACCACTCACCACGTGGTGATTGAACACCGTTTGGTGAGACCAGATGCAACTCAAATTTGAAATCTGTGTTAGGGAAATCGCTTTTCGCAGGCAATCGGTGATAGTTTTAATTATCATAGCAACAGTTGCACATTCGTGCAATTTTCATTAGTGACAATTTTAAAAATTGATAAAGTCTTAATTGGAATGCGATTGGTGATAAAATTATTGAAATTGGCCCAGGGGCAGCTGAGTTTTTAACGTTCAAAATCTTTCAGAATTATTTTACATGTTCCATTTTCGGTTTTCACAAAGTGTACCCCAATATAGAAATCACAGACGTAGTCCTACCTCAAAACTAACCGAGATTCAGTTAACAAACATACATTTTGCTGAAAATCGGCAAGTTTTTCGCTGAGATCCAGCAAAATAAAATACCGAGCTGCTCGGTGATGCCCATTTCGGCAAAAAAAAATCTAAGTGTGTAGGAATAGGTATTTGAGCAGGGTTCTATCTGTTTATACTGCCCTGAAAGAACCTGAATTTTAGTTGGGACATGTTCAGAAAATTTAACTCTTTTGGAAAATCTTTGTCGCCCTGAACAGGGTCGATGGTTTTACAGGTTGAAAGCCTTTGGAAGATGATGATAACGTGTAGGATCAGCAAATCGGACCGGACAATTCCATATTCTTCGGTTCAATGATTGAGCACTCGCAAGAGTCTCGGCCCATCTGCTGCTGGATAGGGGTTGAACTGGTGTCTGCGACAGGTTGGAATGCCTCAGAAGATCAGTGTCCACCCAGTTTAAGTTCCTCCCCCATTTAGTTTTTCTCGTTAAACTCCTCCTCTCAACATTGGAAGCGAACCAGCCTCAGGCTGAAAGCCTCCTTAATAAATCAATCAATCAATCCTTCTCTCAACAAGTTGGTAAATCTTAGACTTTAGCAGAAAGACGCTTAACACTTTTTTTTTGTCGAATTTATGATCCTGTTTCAAGTCATTGTTCTTCTCTATGCCTGTTCAGATAAATTAGTAGGGTTAACTACCCCATTTTCGGCCTATTAGGCACAACCCGCACTTAGTCTTTCTTAATCTACACCGTTTGAAAAATTCATGTAAATTTCTGCGAGATATCGCGCCCATAAAATTAACGCTAGATTTGGCATAAATTTACGCGATATTTCGTGTAAATCTAAGCGCAATATCGCTTAAATTAGCAATATTGTATGCAAGCTTGCAAACGATTTGGCTGTTTATGCCAAGTACATATAGCTCAAAATTAAACGAAAGGAGATTTTACGCGATAGTTAAAATTCAGAATTTTTTTCTGTGTAGTGCAATTTAGCACCAAACGGAATGTTATTATTACTGATGACTTTCAAATTTATTTACCTTTCTGTAAGTACCGTGAGATTTTATAAAGAGAAACCAATCGTTAAGATATCAGGCATAACATTTGATAACGGCAAAAAAGCATTTTTGAACAAACTTTGTATGGCCCTTTACACGCGAACCAAAGTACGCCCACGCAAACCAATACCACTTTCGGAAAGGTGATAGTTGCCTCTATCCGATGATGTTGTTGGTTTGCGTGGGCGTACTTTCGTTAGCGTGTAAAGGGTCTTAGAAAGTTTGTTTACAAATGATTTTGTGCCGTTATCAAATGTTATGCCTGATATTGTCAAAAATCTATCACTGCTTCTTGACGCCAAGCTCTGTCTACGGATTTTAAACTCGGTCTAACGCATTGAAACGCCATTGACATGCCAATGAATTCACTTTGGCCTATCGGATGAAGATAAAAATTGATTTGGTCGAAGCGCTTCTTTTGTTTTTGGGAATAATGGGTGCAAACGTTCATATCACGCGTTCTCATTGACTTATTTCCGTAGCTTTTATTATCCGTACCAAACGCATTATTGACTTGTTAACTCTGGAATCATGGACTTATATGAAGTTTTCTGCTCGATAGGCCCAAAATGGGCGATTAGGCCGAAGTAGTTATCTACCCTAATATCACTTGTTTGCTCTACTGCACTAAATCAAACGGATAGAAATAAGAAGGGATATCGCTTAGGAGCTCGAATAATTTAAAATTTCGATAAATATTTTATCGAATAGCTGGAAAAATCTTTACGATTAATCGTTAATAGAATAATTGGCCTTTTAGGCATTCCTAGTACCAGGACGTTACCAGGACGCAGATTACTTAATTTGGTCTTGTGCTATATGTAAACATTTATATCATGCGTTCTTATAAATTTGGTTTGGTAGCTTTTGAACTAAACTATTGTACCAAACGTATAATTGACTCGTTTACGCCAAAATCATGGATATATTTGATGTAACCTGCTCGATAGGGCCATAATGGGCGATTGTGTCAAAGTTGTTCTCTATCCTATATTTTCCAAAAAAAAATTTTTTTTCTTTAGTCGGTGAGCCTCCCCTTTAAACGAATTAAAATCGGGAAAATTACTCGTGATACTAATCGCTAGCTAAACTTATGACGCCAATTTTCAATACCTCTTCAATCATCCAGACCGATTCCACCCTGTCCCGGGAGAAAAAGGGCGGCAGACATTTACTCACACATACGACCGACAACACAACGACAACGAAAGCCCGTGCCACACCGGAACGAACGAGAGCCGGAAGAAAGTGCGGGACGTGGGACGTGGAGCGCGGATGGAAGGAACATTTTGCGGACCGTCGGAGAAAATTCCACTCACGCTTTTCGCTAGCTCCGCTCGCTCCGTCAGTCGAGGTGCGTTTTCCTACGGGACAAGAGTCAAAACCGGATCGGTCCGGAAGTTTTCCGTTCTCTACCACCCATCATCAGCAGCAGCAGCAGCATCTAAAGTGACTGGACACTCACTCACCTACCTACTACCGCTACTGCCTGTGTTGTTTCTGTTCTTGTTGTTGCTCTCTCTGGTACCATCTCGGCGATTTGTTGTCGCTGTTGTTGTTAATTTCCCTCGCGGAAGGTGCCAAGAAGGCAAAGAGGGCTGGAGTGGGGAAGGAAGTGGTTTATCTTACAATCTATCCCGTCTTTTGTGCGGTGTGCTCACCTCAGTCAGTGGCCGTACAGTGAGGTATTTTGCGGTGTATGGTGGCAGCGTGTGATTGTGCAAATTTCGGTGGTTCAGATTGCATCGGATAGCTGCTTGGCGTGTTTTTTTTTCTTTTCGGCATTCTCTGGAAAACCCAAGCGAGCCTGAGCATTAGAGGCAGGACGAAGGTTCATGTCTCGTGCTACAAGCAGATGTTGTCCAGTCTAGTCTGGGACTGCAAGCATAAGTGAAGACGAGATCGGATTTCGAGGGAAAGTGCACAGTTTAATAAAGTGGAAAATCCGAAAATTGCGAGCATCTTGTGCAGGCCCGGACCAGGTCCGTGTGTGTAGAGAAAGGTGATTTTTCATATTTTCTGCTCTTTTGCCCTTCCTTCGTCGGCACACATACACACACTCCACTCTCCGGAAGATATCGAAGCAGCAGCAGTGCATCTGTGGAGTTTTCCCCGTGTGGAGTGCTCGGCTGGAGGGCTTGGAAAATATGACAAGGGTGCTCCACAACACACGGCTGCTGGTGCTCTACGGTAGGAGAAAAATGTTGGAAAAATAACAGAATCAAACCCAATCAAGTGAAAATTTATCAAAAGTGGATAGCAGCATGGGTGCTTGTAGCATGCAAGAAGAGTTCAGCTTGGTAATAACCCTCATTTGTGGACTATCCGACAAGTGATGCCACTACATAATACCCTCTTGGACCGTTCGAGTGGAAAAGTTTTATTGGCCGAAGAAGATATAGAGTGAGAACGGAGAAAAACAAATCAGATTGAAAGCATTGTACTCCCACAGTGTGATTAAGTGTGCAGAATCAGCATCTTTCTATCTGGATATGTATGTAGCTGCAGCAGCCATCTACTGACGTTAGGTAAGTCAACCCAAGAGGACCTGGTTAAATAACAAAAACCACGCAAACAAACATGCACCGCAAACTTAAGATATCATTTCCAATCTAATGGATGTAACGCATCCACTAGCAGATCATGTGCGACCTACAGCACATCTAAAAACTAGTCAAGCCACCCACAACGATGTTCCGTTGCTGGAGAACATTTGCTACTTCCTACGCCCAAATGCCTAATTATGTTTTTATTGATTTTTATACAGCACTCAACAGTCTATCCATGCGCTCCCTATGTCCTTCACTAGGCGTAGGAGGTAAAGCTATCCAATGGATGATAATTGCTTGCTTCCTTGCTCGTAGAAGAAACGGTCGATTCGCCATGTCCGTGAAACGTGAAACGAGGGCAGGTGGATTTGTTTCTGGTGGGATAGAGGCTTTTCTTCCATGGAAGAGGCAAGTAAGGAATAATCGGGACTTCATTCCTCAGGTTCTATTTTGGGAAGATTTATTGGAAACTACGTATCTTTATCATCATCAGAATGTAAGAGTGGGTTTCTGTAATAGTACAGGGTGCGTGACGAATTTTTGCAGTAAATTTCAAATAGTAATTTCTCATGCTTGTGCATCATGATTTAGATATATTTGGCAGCACTGGATAGCTTATACTGTTAGGTGTAAGATTTAAACAAACAATGTTGAGTAAACGTAAAGATGTCGAAACAAGAGAGCAATCTGTCAGCCGTTGTCGCTTTGTTGCGCGCCGGAGTATGCATGAAAGAAATAATTCGGTCGGTAAATGTGTCTGAAAGAACAGTGTATAATATTAAAAAAGGCTTGGGAAAGTGATAAGACGGAGCACCTTCTCATACTGCTAATAAAGCACAGAAATGGCTTACGGAAAATATTTCGTAAATTTGGGAGGAAGAAATTTGGCCCCCAAGCAGTCCCGATATCAATCCGTTGGATTATTTTGTATAGGGCGTCGTCCAACGGGATACCAATAGAACCCCTCACACCACACTTAAGTCGCTAAAAGCTAAAATCAAGGCAGTGATGACATCTATGGATCGAAACATTTTAAAACGTGCATACTGCAGTTTCCGGAAGCGTCTAACTACAATCGTCGAAAGGGAAGGCAATTTTTTTGAATAAATTTACTTACAACTTCCATATGATGCGAAAGAAAATAAATCGCACAAAATTCATTGCTAGAATAACTAACTGGTGTATTTTTTCTCAAATATGCCATTTACTGCAATAATTCGTCACGCACCCTGTAGTTCGGAATGTAACGAACGTGTAATATTTTCATACGAAACTTTCACATGATGATTTGCTAGGTTCAGTGTATTGATGGAATTTGAATTATCTCGAAAAACTTAATAATATCAATTGAATACACTTATTCCTGGTGGTCCCACTAGAATTTGTAACTAAGAAATCCACTCTATCTCGAGATGAGTTCTTTTTTCCTTTATTAAACGTCGGTCTCTGTTTCGCAAAAGTGCCATTCACCGACGGAAATCGATTGCCATCCGTTGACGGCAATCGAATGTGCAGGAAGGTAGCTTTCACACCTGCGTAGGATATCACACCAATTCAACACACATAGTCCGGGACCAACGGCTTTACTTCCCTTCCGAAAGAAGACGTAACCAGAGATAACACAGATGTAGACATCATTAAGGTAGCTAATTGGGCTGGAATATTATTGATATTCTCCTGTTGTATTCTCGTTATGTTCTTACGAAATATTCACTCCAGTGCACCGAAAAACATGTACACAAGTCCTGTAACGTGCCAAGTGCGGCACCGTTCCAAACAACATACAGCTCGCCAGATTCATCTGTGTTGAACACCTTACTAGCTCAGCATTACTCAACCATCACGACAAAATGGTCCTTTTCAGGACCACCATAAATTTGTTAAAGAGTACTTTCTGGACACTTCTCGCGTTAACTTTCAAATAGACCAATCTACATTGATCTATTCTTTTCATCGACTTTCTCTTTCGTTAATAACTCGGCTCCAAAAACATGTTCAGCTGTTATTATCGTCTAATACGCTTAATGATAGTTTCTGTTAATAGAATATGTAGACAAATTAGCCCGACATATGAAAGCGGCCAAGTTATCCACGAAAGAGAGAGTCGATGAAGATAATTGATCAATGTTGATTGTTTTATTTGAAAAGTGACGCGAGACTTGTCAAGGTCATCAATCGGATGTCAGTTCCCATAAGTATAAATCTAACATACCATGTATTTTTAAGGCAACGCACAGTGGGAAAAAATCGAAATAAAAGGAGCAAAATTCATTATCTCTGATCAGCGCTGATTTAACCTTTGCAAATATAATCATTCTTAAGGGAAAAAAAATCTCAGGAACCCAGTGGGAATAGATTCGTTATGTGCAGAATAGGGCAAGTTGGGGTTTTTGGAGCATTTTACTCAAATTTCTTATAATTTTGTAAAAATGACTTAAAATACCTCATTGTGGTTAATATACGTTCTGAAATATTATCATTCTTGTAGAAAAACATCTGGAGAATCGATTGAAAATGGTTTTAAACATCACCAGTATGTGCAGACTATGTATTTAAGTCAATTTTACCCCTATTACCTTATTTTCGATATTTTTTTAAAAAAAAACTGTAGTCAGTGATAAGAAAACCTGTCCAATGATAGTCCTTCTTGAAGAAAAACACCTTAGGGATCAAAAAATTACGTTTTAGATTACATCGAAAGGTAAGCTGATATATGGAGCCATTTTTTTCCCTAATACTCCCCTAATTATGAAGTTCATCACTAGTGTTACACGGTTATACACGTTGTACTGTATTTTTATAAAAATGACTGAGGAATCGAATGGTGATGGTTTGATCTTAAGAAAATTTCAGTTAATTACCCTTTTTGCCCAATTTCCCCCTTTTGCTGAAGAAAACAAGTCATGATATACTTTTATACGAATTAAGGCCTGTTATTTTGATCGTTCGGGCACTTTCCCTCTGTAAAAATGTGTGAGAAATTCAATGGTGATGGTCTCAATTTGTGATCATATCAGCTTCTTACCAATTTATCCTGATTATCTCCTTTAATTTAATTAATCAAGTAGTGTTCGAATTCACGCATTACATGCGATTGAAAACTCGTTTATTATATCATTGTAAATATGTTTAAAGCTCCAAAAAATGCTTGTCTCATCTTGCGCAATATTTAGATAATTAAACATTTTGCCCGATTCTCCCCTTTTATTTAAGAAAAAAGTAAAATCATACGATTATACGCCACATTCATATTAAACCCTCAAGCACTATCCTACTGAAAACATCTAATGGTGATAATCCCATCTTAAGTGAGCCTCACATACCGTAGAAATGTCATTCAATAACTTTATGTATCACATAAAATTAATTATTTCAGAAGTTGCACAATCCGTGTTTCGTGGGTAAGGAAACAAACAACAAACAATCAACTTTCTAAATATCAGTCTCTTTCCAATTCAGTTCCGTTTCAACTGATCCTAGTAGGTAATTCCTTATAGAGTATGTCCCTTACCGCTTATCTTTTTATCTATATCTGTCCAAACGATCATTTCTATGAACCAGTAAATAGAAAATACAAAGATCAGTGCTGATAAAAATCATTTATTCTACACTCAAAATAGCTGAAAATGAAGACAACCTTAAAATAAGACCAACTACTTGCATGAATCTGAATTTTGACATAACAGCTTTCTCTTTATCAAAGCAACTTCAGAGTAGAAATACTCAGAGCGAGAGATGGGCGGAGAAAACAAAATACAAATCGGCAGCAGGGATTTGTATCTACATTATCTTGCAACCCTTGCTTAAACTTTGCATTTCACATGACATTTACTTTTGATTCCATTTACGTGTAAATTAATAATTGATTGCATCGCATTATTTTGCACATTTTTTGGTGCCATTAATTAACCAACTAAGATCAATTAATCAATAGAGCTAGAATATTGCTTTTGATTCCAAAAACTAGTTAAATTTTAGAAGCACACGAAACATAAGGGTGATTGAATTTCTGTTCGATTGCAATAGTCTCAAATTTAATCTAGTAAGAATAAGAAATTCTCGGAAAAAATCTAATGGGAATGTTCTTTTGGCTCAGATTTTGACAGTGCATTTGGCTCAAAACATTCTCTCCGCTCATCTCTGCTTCAGAGTATCGTAATCAACATTTGTTTTTCTTGGCTGGATGTTCATTATCGCCTCCGTTGATGCCAATATTATTATTCCTCTTCATCTTGGTGGGGATGATTTTGAGGATCAAATGCATAATGATTATTTTCATTTTAAACAAATATAGCGCTGAAGTTTTCGTGTAAGTTTTTACACACAAACCGATGGCAAATTATTGCCTCATGCTGTATTGATGTTAATATCCTGGTTTTGGGCTCAGGAGTCAAAAATATTTAAAATAATCACTTTGCCCAAAATGAATTTAATTATTTTGCTTTTGAGGATCGTTTCTGATTTTGACAATTTTGGGTTGGATAATCAAGCACTGGTGAATATCAACAAACGCGTATTCAGTCCGCATCGTGCTCTCTTGCCGTGCGGATCTATTTGCTTTTTGCTGAAGGAAGTGTTACTACTACCTAAAGCTACAACAAATTTAAACAGCACTTTTCAGTGCTCAACCTGTAAAAATTTTCTACCTTGTTCAACTCTTATTCCTCTTCGATCCTTGTTTGGACCCTACCCGAGGTAATCCTTCTTGGATATCGATTTGGAAAATTCCTCTTCGATCCTTCAGATTCTTATAGTAATCTGCTTGGAAGTCGATTTGGATAAAAATTTACTGCCGCCATGGCGCCTAAACGCAAAAGAAAGGGGCAAACTCTTGACCCCCCTTCTGATGAAATTAATTTGAGTAATCAATTTGATTTGCTCACGGATGATGAGAATGATCCATCATCCAAGAAAAATTCTAGTAAACTTTCCCGGCTTCATGCCAAGAAGGAAAAGATTCCCCCTATTGTGATAACCAC